GACCTTGCGGCGAGGCGGGATCTGGAGGAAGAGCACAGGGATGACACTGCAGATGACGATCCACAAGATCCGGATGCGCCTGTTGAGGCCGAGGTCGAACCAGTCCCACTGCAGGGCTCTGCTGAGGTAGAGACCAATACCGTGGACAAGTCGGATGAGCCCACGGGATCAGATGAGGACAAGAGCGAGAAGCAGCGGCCAAGGTACCGGACTGGGACTGGACCCTTCATGGCGCTCGATCTGCTTGCTCCTGGACGGCCTCCTTACCATCGATATCGCCATGACCTCGAGTCGTTCTTCTACGTCCTGACGTACGTGTGTGTTACACACCGGCCTGCTACACAGACATTCTCGCGTATCGAAGAGTGGGAGGACCCGAACATTTTCACCATCGGCGAGAAGAAACGGTCATTCGTCGTCAACCTGGAAACGTATTTTGATATCACCTCGCGCGCTGATCCCGTATACAAAGACCTCATCAACGAATGGGTCTTCCCTCTCAGAGATTTACTTGTACAGCTTGACGATGACAGTATTGCCAAAGGACGTCTGCGCAACAACCTCTTAATGGCTACTCGCGCCAAGAATGAGACCTTGAAGAAGTCCCTTAATGACCAGCTGAGGTTACTGAGGGCGAAGAGGAACCGCCTCATTTCTTACGACGACTTCTGGAAGTGTTTATCGGTCGTGAAACCCTCATAATAACGGTACTGGCAGCTGACCAGTAGTTTTCACGTAACTTATTTGTTTTATTCTTCACACCTCTTTTCTACGATATTACGTATACATCCGTTGATATGACTGGTCCGACCAGCTGTTCCTGGAAGTATCGACATCAATGTCTTCATTGAAATAAGCTGTCCAGCACGGTATCTGAATTCCATGATTGCCTAAAAACTAAAAAGTGGTTCTTTCTCGTTCCAGTGCTAGTATCCATGAACGACTTACAGTCTACATGCATGACCCGTGCGTGAGTAACAGCGTGTTCCCAACAATTGTCCTTTTGTACGTATCAGCTCATTAACGTGTTCCTCGACTCACATTTGGATTTTCCGGTTCCCCGGCGAACTCGCGGGCTGATGATGACAACTAGGAAGATCTGGACATATGCTTCGTCAGTTGGTACAGTGAACTTACAAGCCTGGCCCCAATCGCGACCAATAAGCATGCATTCCCGCTTCGGCTTCTACCTAGTGAACTTGAGATGCAGTTGGCAGGACCGATTACACACGCCAAATCTGCTTATAGCTCTGCTTGACTGACGAATGGTCTTCATTCATTTTCATTTGTAAAAACACTTTATCAAGTGCCCAGCTTGAGCATGATGTCGACGTCGCAAGTTGATAAATCGTGTACATAGTTGAATTATGCCTCGGGTGTTACTGTATCGCCTAAGCAGAGGCCTAGTTTTGTTTCGCTACCGCCTTGTGCTCATCTGGTGTTTACATACCCTTTGCTTTGATGCTCCAGTATATGCGCCGGTAGTGTTTTCCGGTCGCTGATGCTGGTACTCGCAACCAGTGGGATACAGCAACAGCTCGGATGCAAGATCTAAGCTGGCGCGACGAGCGAAAACTGAGACGATGCATGAGGCATCTGCCGGGCCCGGGAATGATGGGGCGGGCGATAAACCTCGCTCGGACGAGTTCTCCCAGACGGCCGTCGGCGAGGGAGCAAACCGAATTTCCTGTGTGACACCACCCGCCGCCGTTCGCAGGCTTTCTCTCTTTATTCTTCCTTCGCATTCACTCCCCCCTCTTCCTCCCGTTTCCCCTCCCGTTTTGCTCGCGCAGCCATGGCTAGCTACTCCATCTTCTGTATGGGCAATCCCCTGCTTGACATGCAGGTTATCAATGGCGAAGAACTCCTCAAAAAGTATAATCTGAAGGCAAATGATGCCATCCTCGCCGAGGATAAGCATATGCCCATGTCCGTGCGCCCCCAGCTCTTGTCTCATGATCCATAGCCGGTCATACTTATGCATTTCTGGTGATCATTAAACCCTGAAGATATGAGGAGCTTGTTGAGAAGTACAAAGTGACTTATGTCGCAGGAGGTGCCTCCCAAAACGCAGCCAGAGGCGCGGCCGTGAGTCCTAGCATCCCTCTCTATCGCCCGCGCTTATCTTACACGCATTCGCTAGTACATTCTCCCGCCGGGATCTGTCGTGTTCACGGGCTGTGTGGGAGATGATGAACTTGCTGAGCAGCTCAAGGCTGCAAACAGGCGTGAGGGTCTTGATGAGGTCTATTTAGTCAAGAAAGGTGAGAAGACGGGCGCATGTGCTGTCGTCATCACGGGCCACCACCGGTGTGTATTCGGCGTTGTCCTTCATGCAAACAACAGGCCCCTTACTTTGCGTTGCAGATGCCTGGTGACCACCCTCCGTGTCGCTGAGAAATTCGAGAAGGCTCACCTTGCTACACCCGAGGTCGCCCGGTGTATCGAAAGCGCAAAGCTCTTTTATGTTGAGGGCTACTTCCTCACACACGGCACCGAGTCCGCGCTCGAGCTTAGTAAAAAGGCATCCGAAGCCGGCAAGGTACGCCGTTCCATGTCCTGAGCGATGCACTCGTCTCATGGCCCGGGATGCGCCTAGATTTTCGTCCTGAACCTCTCCGCACCCTTCATCCCCCAGTTCTTCCAGGTCCAGCTACAGCAGATCATGCCCTTCGTCGACATCCTCATCGGGAACGAGTCCGAGGCCGAGGCGTGGGCGAGCGGGTCTGGGCACCCTAACCAGAAGGACTACGCCTCCGTTGCGACCGCGATCGCGACGCTCCCCAAGGCGAACCCCGCGCGTCCTCGCATCGTCGTTATCACGCAGGGACCTAAGGCGACGACCGTCGTTTCCTCCGCGGAGGTCGATACCCCGAAGATATTCGACGTCCACCCGCTGCGCGACGACCAGATTGTTGACACCAACGGCGCGGGCGACGCGTTTGCGGGCGGCTTCATTGGCGCGTATGTCTCTGGAAAGAGTCTGGAAGACTGTGTCGAGACTGGACACAAGCTCGGATCGATGTGTGTGCAGCAGGTTGGCCCGCAATACCAGTGGCCGAAGGTCCAAGTTCTGTGAAGATCTTCTCATTGACTAAGTTATCGTTCACGATTCATGCGCGACGCGCTCTCAACAGCGGCGCTCTGTAAATTACATACATCCTCACTAGCTTGTAGAATACCGAGTCAACCATCGTTATCTGTAGCTCATCTCCAATTTCTGAATCCAATCATATGCTCTTTTTGCTGGGGGTGCTCACCAGTAAATTGTTGATTGTTGACATCATCTCAAAGTGAAAGTCCAGAAGTAATAATAACATTAGAGCCAATATATCATAAGACGGAAAATCGCAATAAACAAGACCGCGTAACCTGGGAACCCAAGCCACATATGTATTCTCTCCTGCTCGGCTCATACTCATCAGGATGGGGGTGGGGAAGCCAATGACTCCTACAAACAATTTAAGCATCGATCGGAGTCGCGAGAATGTCCAGTACGTAACCTACCTGTGTTAACAGCTCAGCTGTCTCGTCAGACCGTCATAAACGACACCGTTAGTCTTTATGAACGACAAGTTAACAAAATTATACACACCAGGATTCAGCATCGCAACCCCGTCCTCGGTCACAATCTCGGACCGCGGTGGGCTCGGCGCCCGCTTCCCCTTGTCAATTGCACTCTCCTTGGTTGAGGGTCGGTCAGCGTCTGTATTACTATCAGTAGGATGCACGCCCGACAAGGGTGGCTGCATCGGAGGCGCCGGACGAGAATCGCCCTCTGCCCGCGACACAACGTTTTCTGGCCGGTATACAGCACCCATAACTTTGTCTTTACGTCCAGATGCAACAGACCCACCTGAGCTATCTGCTTCTCCATCCTCATATCGGCCTTTGCCTTCCGCACCTTTCCTCTCCCCCGCCGGTTCCTCGGCGTCATCCGGCTTCTTGTCTTCCATGCCTTCCTTAGCAGCCTGGGCCGCGGCAGTAGGATGAAGGGCCTCCGCAGGCCCATCGAGTGACGGGTCGATCACAGGAGCCGAGCCCTGCGACGAACCATCCTCCATCTCAGCATCTTCGTCGCCCTCGCCCGGGCTGGCGGGAGACCCATCACGACGACTGTGCCGTGGGGGAGGCCCACCATGAGGCGGATGATGGCCATGTGGGGTATGTATGTATTCCGGACCCATAGCTGGATGGTAATGTGGCGGTGGGGGTACACCCATCATACCCGGAGGCGGTGGATGTCTGTAGTATGGCGAGTAGTGATATCCTGGAGGTGGCCCCATAGGGTATACACCTGGCGGGGGAGGGCCGTCGGATCCTGGCCAAGGAGGGGGTGGAGAATGCCAGCTAGCTTGGTGGAGTCGAGCGGCCGATGTAGGGGGACCGATCGAAGGTGGATAATGGGGGTCCATCATCATGCCAGGATGAGCCCTGGGAGCAGCGGTCGGAGGCCCATAACCTGCGGAGCCAGCGTGAGATACACCGTATATCGTCCAATTTAAAGCGGACTGACTGCTGCTCATTGTGTGTGGTCGATAGTAGCTACCGGGGGCGGAAGGGTACTGGGATGGTGGTGTGCTGTGCGAGCTGCTCGGTTTGTCCTGGGTCCTACCAGGGCTATCCTCGGGGCTCGGCGACTTAGAAGCGGACGATTCGCCTTCCTCGTCCTCATTATCCTTGTCTTTATCCGGGGTGACAGGCGGAATGATAAGTCCGTTGTGTCTGCACCACCGAGTAAAGATCAGACAAAGTTGATGAAAATTTTCGGTAGCGGGAACACTCACCGCGATTTCTGGTGTCGCCGGAGCGCGTCGGTCTGCATAGATGTGACAAATTAGCAGAAATTAGACACATCAAATTGACGCACCCTAGTAAATGTCGCGTCGCACTGTGGGCAGGCACTGGATTTTAGAGAATCAATGACCGATAAATATTAATGATATCGACATGAACCGATCACTTGGTACTACTCACAAACCCGGCATTGAATGCAATTTTGTTGTCCTTTGGTGTCTCTTTAAATCCGCCTCGCGCGCAAAGACCTTATTGCAGCCGTTGATCTTGCATGGCCACTGTCCAGTCTCTACTTTTTTCCTAGCAGGTGTTCTCTTTTTGTGAGTCTCTTTCTTCTCGTCAGGCTGGATATAGGATGATCAGCCACAGGCAAGTGGCAGAGGTGGCTGAAAGCAAGGTCCGCGGAGTACTCACTGTCTGCTTCATGTGCGCCCTCACCATCTTGACTCTTTACGAGTATATACTGCGCTCCTTTCTATAAGAGCAGCTCTGAATGTAGATTTGGGTGGGAAGAGGAGGACAGCGTTGTGTCTAGCGACGGTGGCAGGACGGTGGCGTGGAGGGGGGCGGCGCAAACCTGGGTGGCAAACCGCGGTGGCTCGTGAACCCTAGGTAACGTGACTGATGGTCACACAAGCCACAGTCACACTATAGTCACAGCATGATGTCACCGCAAAAATTCATAGAAAATAGTTGAATATAGAGTAGCAGTACAACGATCGTATCCAATAAGACATGCGAGATAGATGAGCATTGCGTGAGGGGTTGAGCGACGACGAGAGCAACAATTCTATAAGCACATTCTTCTAGGTTATGAAGGCAGCTTGCATCCCACAATGCGGACTGATGAATGCAACGAATCAGCGCCCAGATGGAGAGGATAGCCACACTGTAAACACTAACCAGAGCCATCCCATAAGCCAACAGCATAAACCATTTCCCGTGGATGGAATTTCAAACTACTTGAACGAGAAACAAGAGGCATATGCGGATCTCGGGCTGGCGGCATTGTCAGCCCCGTCGTGAGAGATGATAGTGGTGACGATGCGGTGAATGATTGAACGGTCGTACGCTGCGTTCTCCAATTTGATGGAACAAGTGATGATGTCCTAAGTTGCGGAGTCAGTCGCCAGTAAGATTCACAAGCTATATATTCACTTACACAGCGAAGACTTCTGTTTGATCATGAACATCGAAAGCTGACAGACCTTGTGGGCATAGGTCCCAGGTCCGCACCGGCCTATCGCCTCCACGAATGTCCCATAGCATGACCTCTCCATCCAATCTGTAAGTCAAAGTACACATTCAGCAGTGCTCTTCGCCATAGTAGTCAGTGTAACATACGATCCAGATATAAAATGGGCACCAAGCGTTGGATGCCACTTGACATTTTGCACCCAGGAATAATGATCACTGTAGGAGCGGACAACAGCATCATCTTCATCCATTCGACGGTCGAAGACCTTTACGACACCATCAGCGAAACTAGCCAGGAACGTCGACGACGATGCCTCATCGGAAACGATCGCTGTGAGAGGGCTCTCAGAGTTCGTATACAAGTCCTATTATAAGTTGTTGAACTTTCGCATGATTCGTTAGAGGGCGACAGATCATACCATGACTTGGCTCTCTGTATGAGCGTCCCAGACTCGGATGATTCGCGAGTCCCCGCCCACCATGAGCGATCCTCCTGATTGTCTCCAGTCCGTGACGACACCGCTGCCGCGGGAGAGCTGAAGAACTTCGTTTGCGCCACGGAAGGAGCTCACCATTTGGACTGGCCCATTGCTCGAACTAGGGTCATAGTTGCGGTACAGGCGGATGACTCCATCAGCTAACAGTAGTGATGTTGAGCAGCAGCACCACGAACTACGCAGGAAGAACTTACACGCTGCCGTGAGTATAATTCCCCCAACATCTTGGTTGATGATGTGAAGCGATGTGATGGTGGTTCCCCGTGGATTACCATTAAAGAAGCGATTCAGTCGCTTTCGGTGCATCCAGTCCCAAACACTTCGGACATGGATCAGCATAATATCATAAAAGTTGATTCAAAGACCTACGTGATGACATCCGACTCGTTGGTGATGACGAGATGAGGATCGAACGAATGGAATGCAAGAGAAAGTGGGAGGTCGCTGACATGGATCGTAGAGACAGGTCTATCCCACCGACAGCTCGCTGTTCAATTCCGTCATCAGGACCTCTTGTGCTAAAATAAACTACGAGTAACCTACCGGCAACCTCAGCTTGTCCTCGAGTGGTCGAGAGTACCTCCTCATTACGCTGTTGTCGCCAAACCTGATAGTTGTATTGAACACTTCCAGGCTCATCTGCTTCAGGTTGCTAGAATGAAGAAATAATAAGACACGCTGAAAGAGTGAAATACGGTGCAACCTAACGACGTACTCTCATTTGTGGCTCCTTGAAGTACTCACAGCACCAATCATAAAATCGGCTTTTCAACGGAAGCACATCTCTGATCCCGATGCCCGTTCCAAGGCCTAGAATAATGCTCGAATCAACGGAAGTTGTACTACCCGCCGGGCTACCCATCCCACCTAAAGCAGCACCGTTGAACCCGTGGTGGTGAGGATGATGTCGGTGATGTGAGACCGTTCGGCGACGTGCTTCTAGACGCTGCATATCTTCCTCTATGAGAGCTCCCATAACGTCTGACGGGCCGAATTCCGGGTGATGAACCTCCCCCGCAGACCGCGGTGATGGATGAGGAGAAGGGTACTGTGAGGGTGCAGGCAGGGGTGGTGTGGATGGACGGGAATAAGGGGATGTATATTGCGCATAATTGAGATTGGGTGAAGGTGGTCGTGAAACACCGTTTAAAGCTTCTAAGTGAGGTGCAGATGTCGAAGTGGGTTTGGGTGATGAGCGGCCATCATCCATCGTTGGGAAAGCGATATTTCCCGCGAGGTTCTTCAGGGCATTGGCAAAAGAAGATGTACGTCGAAGAGTGTTTGTTACACCACTTGAGATCGTACTGCTGACTGTGTCGCTACGAGCTATTCCTGGTCTGCTCGATATTGGTGAGGGTGGCGGCTGCCCTCGGTCAGACGTCAATGAAGGCGCTCGAGTCCGCGTCCCGTTGGTTGACTTTGAATCGGATGACGACGAAGGAGGGGTGTTTAAAGTGGTATTGTCCAATCGACTGAATGGCGATTCGAGGAGCAATGCCACGACGTAATCAACAACCGTTTGTGCGTTAGTAGCCACCTCTTGATAAGGGTCCGCTGAGAGCTCAAGCAGAACGGTGAATATTGTGAAGAAAGAGGACAGCAACACGCGATTTTCTTCGCGGTAAGCATCGTCATCTCCCAAATCGTCCAGCCATTCAGCAACTGCTTGCGACGTGATGTCCTCATCATGCAATAGATGCGTCCCGTTCTTCCACCGTCTATCTTCCTCCCAATAAATCCACGCACATACGATGAAATGACCTCTCCACTCCTTTACGAGGCAGCTGATGAGAACAAGGAGCTCCTTCCTGACCATTGGGCTAGCGTCTTCCTTAATAGCCAACGTTGCTCCAGTAACGACGGCCACCTCCATGCGGAAATGGACGCGATCCTCAAGCTGGTACTGTGTACCACTACCACCACCCCCAAGCTTGTTTAAGTCAGGCGAACCTGAGGCTCCCAGAAACGTACCCAGGGCGTAGAGCGCCGCGCTGCGTACCTCCGGTGAGTCATCGGAGAGTAAGGCGATCAATTTGTCCTGTGTGCCACGGTCAACTCCATATGTCTTTATTTCATCATTGGCATCCCATATCTGCGCTACACACAGCGCAGACCACTGTCGTAGTAGAAAGTCACCATCACCTAGGGCATCATAGCATGCGTCAAAAACCTGCTCGCGCCAGCACGCATTCTGACCATGCGGATAGTCGCGGGCGATTGCGGAGAGAACAAAAGCGCACATGGCCTTATGCTCCGAGCTGTTTGGTATACCTCCATGTGAAGAATCGTCTCTACCTGCGAGCACATTGGCGAAATACTTGTAGCCTTGGTTACCGTACAAGTCAACTTGACAAGACGGATTGACCGCAAAGATGCGTGCCCATATGAATATCAGCACGGGCCGAAGATCTGGTGATGCTGCCTGGAGGAGACGTGAGATGTAAGGAAAGATACCGATGGCGAGAACGAGATCGACCGCCCACGGTCCAAGATCAACAAATTGCGAAAGAAGGATGAGAGCGCGGAGACGATGGGGTTGAGATAGTAGCACTTGCAGAACGATCGGAAGTTGATCTGGCGGCTTCCGAGGGACAAGATGGTGATCGCTGATGGGCTCCATGTCCTGCAAAGAATGTGATGCATCCCCGTTGGGCACATCCACCGTCGCAGCCTGATCTCCATGACTCTCCGGCAGAGACAAAGGACCCCGTTTAGTAAGCGCAGACCCGCCCCGCGATATCCACACTTCGAATGCTGTGAGTTGATCTCCGAAAAACCTACTTGAAATGTACGCGTAGGTTGGGTCGGACGGTGGTGGATGAGAACGTGTTGCAGACGACCTTCTTCCTGTCAACGAGCCGTCGGCGACAGTCCCTGGCTTCATGTGCTTTAAAAGTTCAGGCAGCTGCCTCAAACACGCATCCACAGCCAAATCCCAAGATGCCCACAGCGGATGGGTATTCGTAGCGGGTAACGGTGGCGACGTGTGTGGCGTGCAGTGGTAGTTCTTCATTATCCGCTCTGCCAATAAGAAATTCCGGAATAACGATGCAACCAGAAGGTCGGACCTATACAACCGCGTAAACACGTCGCGAGGAAACGTTGTCCAGGCAATTGTGTCAGTAATTGCTGTGAAAATCCAGTTTAACTCCCCAAGGGGCGTTCGGCGATCCTTTAAGTCACCAGGTAATTGCATGACCATGTCCAACGTGACGCTGTCTGGGAGTGGGTGGCACATAACGAACCATCGCAAGGCGATATCAATGGGAGATGTTAGACAAGAGGTGAAGAGATCCGCAGGGAGCTCGGGACAAGTAGGAAGCTGTTCGTCAGCAGCACACGCAGCGAGTTGGATACTCTCAGAAAACGGTGGCGTACCCTCTGGGTATCCTCCCCTGTTCATCGTCGCATCCGTGTCTCGCCGTTTGGCAAACGTGATAAAGTTCTGCAGAAGGTGGCCTGCCGCAGAGCAATCCCAGATATACACGCAGGGCGACAGCAGCCAGCTCTGCACTTCCTGCAATGAGACGGGGATGTACTGCGTGTATTCCTTGTTGAAGCACCACATTTCTCCGCTCGGCGTAGGCTTGGGGACACCGTGCCCGTTATAGTAGAACAAAATCGCATCTTCTTTCGCTGTCTTGCGCAAAGAGTGACAATACTTGCGCAGATCGTCATACGCGGGATCAAGAAGCGGTTTGAACGTGATCTTTGGGCTAAGACCTTCAAACTGATGGGCGAGGTTCATGCCGATGATGTCGAGGGCCTTCTGGGCTGGTAGGGTGTGGGGATCGACCCAGCATTCAAGAGTGGCACACGGATTCGTCTTGACGACATCTGGAGGATCAACGTCTATGTTCAGACAGAGGACCAGTGCAGCGTTGGCCGTTTTGAGCTTTGAAGGCGTAGATCTCCACGGTGTTGTTTTCGGAGCCCATGGGGGAGGGGGAGCAGGGTTTCCGCACGTTAGATGGCGTTTGGCAGACCAGTAAGGCAGAAGTGGAACAGGGTCGGGGAGAGTGGGGATGGAACCCGTGAGTCGCGCGTCGAGGTCCGCGGCACCGTTGGTCTGTCTGGTACGGGATGAAGAAGGATCCGAGTGCGTGGTCGAGTGATAGTCGCGCTCAGTTGAAGAGTCCATGTCGGAACCATGGCGTGGCCCGAACATGGCGAGGCAAGTAGAACTAAGAAAACGCGGGCCTGCAAAGCGCTCGTATGTAATGGACCACAGAGCAGGAGACACTAACCGTTGCCCTTATTTGGAAGGAGTAGCTGAAGACGACCGTCCTCCGAGGAGTCAAGATCCCCGAGTAAGGGTGCTCTGGGCGCATGTAGGTACCCTAGCACGGTGTAAATGGGACCCTCAAGAAGCTTGAGCATACCGAGAAAGTACGTTGCTTTTTTGATATAGAGCTCGAGACGAATTATCTCACAGCGACGCCATGGACATAGAGAAGACCTATTGTAGGTAGGTAAGGAGCCACTCGTATGATATACTATCAATGGGGCGCCCCCCTTCGACAAGCTCGCTTGT